TACTTACATATCCATAAATCTGCATTGTTCAATTCTTCCAGTTAACAATATTTGTCTATTTTGTATACTTACATAAATCTGTATTGTTCAATTCTTACAGTTAACAATATTTGTCTATTTTGTATACTTACATCAATCTGTATTGTTCAATTCTTCCAGTTAACAATATTTGTCTATTTTGTATACTTACATCAATCTGTATTGTTCAATTCTTCCAGTTAACAATATTTGTCTATTTTGTATACTTACATAATTGTTAACTGGAAGAATTGAACAATACAGATTTTATTTGTCTAATTTGTATACTTACATAAATCTGTATTGTTCAATTCTTCCAGTTAACAATATTTGTCTATTTTATATACTTACATAAATCTGCATTGTTCAATTCTTCCAGTTAACAATATTTGTCTATTTTGTATACTTACATAAATCTGTATTGTTCAATTCTTCCAGTTAACAATATTTGTCTATTTTGTATACTTACATAAATCTGCATTGTTCAATTCTTCCATTTAACAGTATTTGTCTAATTTGTATACTTACATCAATCTGCATTGTTCAATTCTTCCAGTTAACAATATTTGTCTATTTTGTATACTTACATAAATCTGTATTTTTCTAACCTATCTTTCTACACTATTTCACTAATTACTTTTACGATTGTCACTTGTTGATACAATTTTCTTCTAAGTGGTTGTTCATGTACTTATTGTTGGTTGTTTATCTATCAGTAAATCCTAGTCTGTTAGATGACAGATATAACAGACAAACATGATGTTATGATGTTTTTATGTAAGTAAATTCGCCGGTAATCACTTGAAAAATAAATATATCTAGACTGAACCATTACCAAAACACCAATTTTCTAGAAGCATTAATATATTAAACACAGCAGTTGTTGGCTGCATCCACACATCGGAGACTCTCTACTTTGTGCATAATTAAACACAATTATCTGTTTAACACGTGATAAGAGAATAAGTTAGATAAGACAAGATATGCAACACGCCGTGCACAGATCCCATCCCCGTGTCTGTCACGATTACAAGAACGCGAATGAATGCCTCACGTGACAGTAAGAGGAATCACTGTTAATATAACGAGCCGTCATTGCGTTAAAACGAAACACCACGACGTCTCCTTCGGTGATCGGCCCCGTGATTAATGTCGCGGACGACATTTATGACGTCAATAAATAACTATTCTCGTCATCGTTACAATAGAGTGATAATATGGAAATTCTTCTCGGAGGGCAGAGAAGATAAGATAATTACATTACAATATGATTATAATTGATGAATCCAAAGGCAATTCCTGAGCAGGCTTCTTCTCATTAACCTAGTATTCTCAGTGGAAGCTATACGTTATTAAATCATTACTAAGGAATGCGAGCTTTCAACGCAGGTTATCTATGGATATCAAACTAGAAGCAATCAAAACTTCTACATCTAACATCCGCCATCAGTACGTCTTGATTTCTTCCGTAACAAGCGAATAAAAACTTTCTTCACGAGCTACTACATCTCTGATACGCTTAACTTTCTGAAGAAGAAAGATACACACACATATATATATGTACGTATTTCTTAACTACAATTTAAAAACGTGTAAAAAATGTAGTAGATAAACACACGAGAATGTTTTTTTTAAAAAAAAGAAGAACGCTTTGATGTTTTTCGGACGAATACAAGTTTTCAAATTAAATTAAGGGGATTATTCCATAGTTGTCAGAATGTTAGCTTGGTTAGATTTAGGTGAGATCTAAGCGATATGAGCAATCACGTGATTTTTAAGTACATCGGTTTCATTTCAGCTGTCAACTCTGACACGTTGTCAAGGAAATCGTGTATTACTAATTGGTCCCATAGCATTCTAAGATGTTGTCAAGTAAACCATGTACTGCTAACGGGTCCTAAAGCACTCTAACACGTTGTCAAGGAAATCGTGTATTACTAATTGGTCCCATAGCATTCTAAGATGTTGTCAAGTAAACCATGTACTGCTAACGGGTCCTAAAGCACTCTAACACGTTGTCAGCACAGTTATGACAATGTCAGGTTTTTATGTAAGTATAGGCTGGATTCTTTATAGTAGGTGTCTGTGACTCGTTGACGATAAATTTCAACAATAAACAAACAGCACACAGTCCACTTGTTTATATATATACAAATGTTCGTCACATAGTTCATCACCATAGTTGTATCCAGAGCTTGAAATAATCGTTTGTTCTCGTCAAAGTCCACACAAACTGGTTCAATTACTTTAGAACACAATTGACAAGACGAATTATTCTTCTCTGCTCTGTTATTACAATAAAGTCTGTGATAATTTCATTTACGTAACACTGTTGGTTATCACAGTTGTATACAGAGCTTTAAATGATTCTCTTTTTTCGTCAAAGTCCACACAGACTGGTTCAGTTACTATAAAACACAATTGACAAGATGGATTATTTTTCTCCATCCACTCTGTTGTTACAATACAGTCTGTGATAATTTCACTTTAAATAAAAAGTGCTACTACACGCTTTCTTTTACTGCTAAACTTAGGAACACATAACCTAGATACAGTTGACTATATCTTTCACTTTGTCTTACTTACTTGAGCAACATTTTGGATGCGTATTTATAAATAGCCCAACTGAGGCCTAGAACTT